AAAGTTTACAATCCTTAGCCGTACAATATGCAAAAAAGTACAATCAGAGACATTGTATTAAATGTTAATATGCATTGAAAAGAATGATCATTGTTCAGATTTCGATTCCTGAACTGCTAAAATTAAACTGGTGATAACTCACTATTTATCGTCAGGATAGATGAAGAAATAAAGAGAGGAAACTTGATTAAATACTTTGTGCTGAGAATTCTATATTGTACCAAAACTATGATATTGAATAAAGTCACTAATAATAATAATGATTATTATTATTATTATTTATTAAATTGATTATAATGTTTTTATTGAGAATTGTACAAAACTTTGTAACAAAATAAAAATCCTAATGTGAAGAAGATCGATAATGATTGTCTAAAATTGCAGTGTTCATTTTTCGTTATCATTACATAGTAATGAGAAGTTAAGAAGTGTTAAATTTTCTTGAGTCATTATTATTTGATAGTGTCATATCATTTAAATTAATCAGTCAATATCTAACTAGTTCCTTATATTAACTAAATTCAATGATGGAGAGGTATCATTATAACTAGTGGAGAACTTACTATATTATCAAGATAAGAATAAGAACAGATGAAATTAATGGCTTGTTGAAATAGAAATATAATTCGTCATGACTAATAAATTCTACCTAAAAATGTTACGATTGATTGATCACTGAGTAGTGATCATTACAATGTTTGTCAAGTTCTTTAGTGCTCATTAGAAATATGTCGATCACACTTCTGTGTCCGCTAGTTTAGGTGATTCGAAATCCTTTATGCTATATTAAGATTTTAGAAGGTTGAAGGTACTTGACAAGAAAAAAGTATTATTTTACTGGTTTTCTGAACAGTATATCTAAACATTTAAAACATTAAAGGGTAAATAATCTGAAAATAATGCTTACTTACTTACGCCTGTTACTCCTAATGGAGCATAGGCCGATGACCAGCATTCTCCAACCCACTCTGTCCTGAGTCTTCTTTTCTAGTTCCATCCAATTCTTGTTCATTTTTCTCATATCTATTTCCATTTCCCGGCGTAATGTGTTCTTTGGTCTTCCTCTTTTCCTTTGATCTTCAGGATTCCATGTGAGGGCTTGTCTTGTGACTCAGTTGGGTGCTTTCCTCAATGTATGTCCTATACACTTCCAGCGCTTCTTCCTAATTTCTTCCTCCGCTCGGATCTGGTTTGTTCTCTCCCACAGTTCGTTGTTGCTAATAGTCTCTGGCCAACGGATCCAAAGTATTTTGCGTAGACAACTGTTAATAAACACCTGTATTTTCTGGATGATGGCTTTCGTAATTCTCCAGGTTTCCGCCCCATACAGTAGAAATGTCTTGACATTTGTATTGAAAATCCTGACCTTGGTGTTGTTTGACAGTTGCTTTGAGTTCCAGATGTTCCTCAGTTGTAAATATGCTGCTCTTGCTTTGCCGATCCGTGCCTTCACATCTGCATCGGATCCACCCTATTCATCAATGGTGCTGCCCAGATATGTAAAGGTTTTTACATCTTCCAAATCGTCTCCGTCAAGTGTTATTCGATTGTTGCATAGTGTGTTGTATCGAAGAATCTTGCTTTTCCCTTTGTGTATGTTGAGACCTACTGCTGCTGAGGTTGCTGCTACATTGGTCGTCTTCTCCTGCATTTGTTGTTGCGTTTGGGATAGAAGGACCAGATCATCTGCGAAATCTAGATCGTCCAACTGCATCCTAGATGTCCATTGTATCCCGTGTTTCCCTTCAGGTGTTGACGTCTTGATGATCCAGTCGATCACCAGGAGAAAGAGAAAGGGTGAGAGTAAGCAACCTTGTCTAACACCGGTCTACACTTTGAACGACTTTGTTAACTGTCCTCCATGCACTATTTTGCAGTGTAATCCGTCATATCAGTTCTGTATGATATTGACTATCTTCTGAGGCACGCCGTAGTGTCGAAGAAGTTTCCATAGTGTTGTTCTGTCCACGCTATCAAATGCTTTTTCGTAGTCAATGAAGTTGATATAGAGTGATGAATTCCATTCAATTAATTGTTCCACAGTGATCCGTAGAGTTGCGATTTGGTCTGTACACGATCGTTCCCTACGGAATCCGAGAAATCGTGATGTCGGTATTAAAAGAAACAAAAATAAAAACTACTTTTGTGATCTTTACTGATCGCTCAAACCGTCTGTAACTCAATTGTTTCTCTTTCAGCAATTATAATTTTATCTTGATAAAAATTAGCCGATAAATGAAAGTCTTATGACTAATAGGCGATTATGAACATCTCCATCATAGCAGTATGTTCAATACTATTTAAAAAAGATAAAAGGCACCTCAAAAAGAACATCCAAGTTAGGTGATCAGAAGTAATTGAATTCCGCTTGCTATCTAGTAATACCCTGAACTGAGCAATTTATACACTAGCAGTCACGTATGGACCACTATTTAAATCAGAGAGCACTGTGCGAGTGCAGACGAAGGTAAACAACTGAAATTCAAATCGGTCGTAGAATAATGCACAGAGTAGTCATTCTTATATGCAAACGTTAAATCAAGAAACAATTCAGTCAGTCGGTTGGAAATTCAACCGATGAGAACCGCAAACACTGAGAACGAAGCCCCATCAGTAGAACATTTTGCAGGAAGAGACTGAATAAGCATGTACAAAATCGTAGATTTTCCTCGTTCTACTGGAGCAGTACCTCCGCACTTAGAACTAAATCTTCACTTCTTTTCAGAAGCATTAGCTTATCCATATGATTCTTAGTTAATAAGTTATTCTTATTTACTTGTGTGTAAGTGTACTCATAACAACAGTCGAGTAATGTGGAGTTAAAATGTTGAAGGTCTTGTAGGGATATAGGCACAAGATCATGAGTTCGATTAGCTAGATTTCCGAATTTCATTTACACGTGAGGTTTACTGGTTTTGGAGGTGTTATTACAGAACTAGGGATCTAATGATACGGCCTACATTTGGATTGACAAAATGTAATACAAGTGTGATTACATACTTACGTTGCGGGATGTTCTGGAAACTTCCTAGTTACGTGTGTAGTGGCATGAGGCCCTAAACACACACTCCTCAAAACTCAACACGAGACAACTGGAAAAATAGATATTCAGTATTTACCGCGGGGAAAAACTCCACGATGAAGAAGGCGGGAAGAGGGAATTTAATTCATCCGAATTTGTCGGACGGCCTGACTCGACCCTGCAGGCGTGGTCACTCTTGAGTGTTGTCTTATATCTTTTATTCATATTACATATATACTGTTCTATCTCTAGCCTAAGTTTGTTCTTCATCATATATGGGTGATTGTTACGAGGAAATGAGTTGGTGTAGACGATGATGTGACTTCCACCTAGGATCTTATATATTAGGTAGCTACATCATGACAAATCTACAGTTTTTGGATTAAGTCTATTATTAGAGTAGTACTAATAACGCGGTAGACCATAATTCTACACGTATACGTGTTGAAATGTTTCCAAGTGTTCGCGTTTGGCTTTTTGTGATTGCGTTTCAGTAACACCAGCAAAATAATCCCCAAATAGTTTACGTTCATCTAATTACAGTTCAAACAATGAGTGACTTCCCAGAGATATGTTGCGTTTTAATGGAACTAGTCGAGATTTAATAGCATAATATTATTAAGTGCCTGACGTTTGAGTGTTTTCCCATTGGAATGAATATGGCTTCGCTTTAGTGCCTTCCAGAAACGTTCAGAATAATCAGTACGTTCGAGGAAACAGACCTCACACTTCACTAATGAACTTTGGACGGTGTAACATCGAAACCTATCGTCGTGAAATCCTTGAATTTCTTCAATAGTCATGAAATTTCCATTTAAACATTAAAAACACAAAGTCCAGCTAAGAAATCTCTTTTCAACAGATTTGGTATCAAGCTGTACAATCGTATATATATGGAAAGTTGTGCAGTTTGATAATGAATTCGTTGAAGTGATTCCTTTGATGAACATTTCCAATGTTCAAATATTAGTCTGTCGAAATGTTATGTTATGAACATTTTTTCTCCTTTGACATAGGGATAGTACTTCCGCTTTGAGAACACGCTTCCGATCGTCATCTCAGAACGTGATGTTGGGACGTAACTCTACAATCTATTTGAAGGCAACCTGACGCGATCATCCCAGATTTGTTCCTACCACTGTTTAAGAGGTACGCTCGGCCCTACCTTGAAGTCCACAATTTTGTTATATTCTCACTTTAAAAGACCTAAATCCCATAATTCATGTACAGAGACAGGCGACCAGTAGTTGATGGGGCTAAAACATGAAAAGACAGTCTCCAATAATTTGAATTAATCTCGTCGAGCTGTAAGAGAATATGAAGTGGTTCAATAATGGCATTCAGCAAATTAGATTCTTCAACCCATACCAACACCAACATAGTGGCTGAATATGACCATCACGTCACTCGAGGCAGTACATGAGAGCCTTCGCATCACAGAACGAAAACCGAAATACGCCTCCACCTATTTTTACCAAGAGTCGCCCCTACTTGGAATGCTCTACAAGTCGAAGTGACCCAGTCCCCTCATTCGACAGCTTCAAAAGGAGACTTGACAAATACGTACTCATCCGTGGATAACTGTCACTCTTAAAGTAGCCGTGCCTGATACAGGTCACAGAATTTAACATTGTTATCACTGTCACATACTAGTAACTAATTTCCATCTCCCTTATTATCACCCACATTTTGTTCTTACACTTCAGTTTTCTTACACTATCCTCAATATCAACGAATTTACCAATTTATCTATTTACTTACTCACCGAAAAATCATATCCTCTTAGTTTTCGAATTTTGATTTCATTATCTTTTACATTGCAACCGATAGATCAACTGCCTGGTAATTTGATAGCTACTGGTATCTTGAATCCCTGCACAATCAATCAAATAAAACCTCATACAAATTCACAAACAATTACCAAACTGACAAGAATTAGCGTGTTTTAGTGACGAGACTACTACTCAATGAACAAAACCAAATGCTTGGAACCGTACCGAAACAACAAGAAGCGAGCTCAAAGAAATTGGACCTTAGAAATGTTGCAGCCAACATGAAGGCTACGTTACTTTGTTGTGTGTTGAGAAGGTTAGTCTATACATTTCCCCACAATACCACTTCATCCTAATGAAAAAATGTTACTGTGGTGAAAATAATATAACAATATATCGGTCGGTTTAAAAACCATATATTCGTAACACCCGGAAGTCTTTCGAAAGGAAGACGTGAAACACATGAAACTAACACCTAATATATAAGTACTTCCACAACCGTATTAATTGGGTGAATGCTACTTATCATAAAATACTGCATAATTATTGTCGCGCGTGAATTTTTTCCTAAATCACTTTTGAATCTTTACTAGCCAGAATTTTTAAAACTTATACGGACTACCGCTTTACCACCAGGTACTGCTTATTACCGATCCCCTCTGTATCAATACTTAGTGTACGCCCCATATTAGTCACAACTTTTTGTACTGTGGTGGCTATTTCACAGATCAGGATATTCGATAAACACTGATCCTTCAAAATTGATACTTCCTAATCTCCATATTGTAGGGAAATCCTGAGAAATTTTTGGGTTTTCCTCGAAATCATACGAAAATCTGTACGTTTCCACAAAGTCTGGTGAAATATCGGGGAAAACACTCCAAAAGTTCCCAGATATATATTAGGTTTTAATGGTGACAAGATTTGGGTTTGGAGATTTGTGATTTTGACTTTTAACTTGGCACATTTGTGAAGTTATCACGAAAATGAAATCTTTGGAACTTCAAACGATAATGCTAAGCCTCCATTACATGGTCTCAACAAGTAACCAAATCATTTAGTTTATCTTTAGTAATAACACCAGTTTTCGTCATGTTACGTCAGCGCAAACCAATGCAAACGTTTTTCAGGTTTTTTGATAGAATTTATAATTGAGTGGCAACGTAAGATCAGGCTTTGAAGCAGAAATGATACCTAATTCAGTCGGTCTTAAATTTCATAATTCCTGGGAATAATTTGTATATGTCGAACTTGTCATCACTCACTACAACACGGCGAGACTAAAGCAATTAGAAGCAAAAATGAGAAATGATGCACAAATGAAGTAATAAATTAAGCGTAAAGTATAAAGCTGGAAAGGAACCAACTTTGTGGGGGAGTCACATGTGTGCAACAATACTATATTCAGGACCTGAGAGAAAATAAGACGGCAGAACAATATTTATTAGCAAATCAGAACACATTAAAAACTATGTAGAAGCAGTAATGTCTGCATAACACTTATTTGTAAAGTGTATATTTTGTGCAATTTATTCATTTTTCTCTTTACAATGGTAGTATATTGGTTTGTATTTCTATGTTCTTCACTTCTATATTCCTTTTTAGCTTGTGCAACAACTCTAAATATATGTTCTAGTTCATTATAATAATGGCATCACCAACATTGATACTCGATATGGGTGGTGGATCACTAAAAATTGGATTTTCTACAGATCCTCATCCCAAGTAATTTTTACTTTTTCCGTAGAATTGTCCCTGTTTTCCAAAAGAATTATCGATAATTCCATTTTTAAATCGAAAACGCTTGGGGGTCGTACATTCGTTGGAAATGAAATAGAACAATGCAATAATTTGTCGAGTTTATTTTGTGTTATGCCATTCAAAAAAGTAAGTATTGTGACGTTCCTGTTAGTTATATGCTTCATTTACTCCCCTAGTTAACCGTTTTTTTTTCTGTTAAGCTCGAAATGCTACCATTTGTTCGTATAACTAGTTGCCTAAAAGTAGCTTTTTATAGGCATATGAATCCCAGACCCAAAGGTGTAACCGTTTACTTCCACCACTCGCTCATAAACTATAAGCTGACGTCACTTAGTTTGATTTGTTCACCCTAGTGTTATTTCTGCCCGTTATACAACAAATGTGGTTTTAAGCTTATATTATGACAAACTATTTATTTATTTATTCGAACACATAAATGTTGGTACAAAGGAACACCAGACATATGCGCCACACAAATCTCATTTGATCTGTGTGAGGGCTGTGATACTGTCCGGGTGCCCAAACCGAAGCAGGTGGTTTTCTTAGGGGGCAACACCCGGAGCCTTCGACCTAAAGACCTGATCTACAAGGCAGTGGAGCATCACAAGAAGATGCAGTCCCATGGTAGCCAGTGACCAACGATTGGTCCATATGCCATTTGTTCCCTCAGGACACAGGAGCCAATGTGCACGATTGGTTTGGAATCAGGGTTTTCCAACTCCCCTAGATGGACTCTTCGTGTTCATCAGCCCGGTTAAATAGCCGGACATTCGCTTTTCGTCCTCTCAATTTCGTAAACGTACTAGGATACATAACATCGACACTAATCACCTCTGACAAAATCCGGACATGAATTCAGAGGCCACTCGGCTTTTATCAATTTACGTCTTTTGTGGTGTAGACGAAATGTCCGTCTACCAATCAGAAGGGCGTGTATACTACACAGTAGTTTTCTCGGTACTGCTTTATGGTTTTGTAACATAGTCTTCAAAAATTGGGGAAATTGGTAGGTTATTAGTATTCGCTTACTGGTGTTTTTGATACATTACTCTGATATCGTGGGACGATTAAATGAGCAGTGTTGGGCTTAGGCATAGGGTACTAGGCAAGTTGACAAATCGGTTTATGAAGTTGTGAATCTTTATTGACTAAGATGGTTAGTACATGTATTACGTATACCGACTCACTATCTACCTCAGTGTGAAATGTTAGCCAGTGCATGAGTGGGTTGGTAGAAAGCTAGAGACTCCTGAATCAAGGTGGCATTAACCCATGAAATAATTGACTACCAATTTGAGCTATCTTCGTAGATGACTACTCGGACGGGGTTCGCGTGATCACCATAACAAATGGTTGGGGGGCTTTAGTAAAAAGATTCGAGGTCATTAGCAGTTGCACATGCACCTACTCTTTGTCTTCAATTACAGTTTAAAGGCTATTCTATACCTTTTATTCCACGAATTCATTCTTCTCGAAACTTGTTCGTCTAATCTTTTCTATTATCGCCGCCTCTAATTCTGCAGCAGTTGCCTTAATAATTTCACTTCACTGTGCTGATATAGTTTGAGAAACTTGACAAACCCATATTTCTGCCAGTCTCTACGTTGGTTCTGATTGATTAAACAGTGATAGTACCAAAAAGGTGGTTAGCAGTTCCAAAACTTCCTAAGCAAATAGTTGTTTTATACCAACAGACATTGAATCATTTAGTCCTGTATGTGAGTTTTACAATCTTAAGTAACAAGTCTTAAGTAACTCTTATCAGTAGTTTTTATTGTTCTTAGTCATTTAAAACAATGAATTTGTTTTCATCAGATATATTTCAAATAACTAGTTATATAGTGACTTAAATTTCACCATTATGGCCGGTAAATGGTGTAAAAGTCGATCAGTCTATCTTATTATAAAATACGTTTCTACAATATATATTATAATGGTAAAATCAGCCGTAGATAAAAATATATTTCACTTTCTTCATTTGATAAACAAAAGTGAGTGAAATTCCCGTGCTTTTATAACTGTATTTGACTTTCATAGTTGCGTTTGTGCTTATTTATGAAGCAATTCCATGTTTTTACATAGATATACATATTTGTTTTAAATAAATTTCGCGTTTATTTTCCGGCGTAATTAAACACCGATTTTACGTTCCCCTATGATCGCAAGTTGGTTCGCGCTCCGTTCACCTATTTAGTTATAGATGTGGACAACGTCCCTGTAAAACTAGATTATAATTGTTACAATAGTCGCTCATTGTTTTCCGTCATTATGAAAGGCTACACTGTAGAATATTTATCATTTATAAAGGATTTGACGTAATCTATATCTTTTTTAGAAGAATCCCCATTCATTAAATATATACTTGTACAAAACATTTTCCTATTTTTAGGGTTATATTAACAACTGGGAAGTTCAATGCCAAATTTTGGACACAACTCTTAAAAGCATAGTTAAAACAAACTCTGTAGGTAGTTTTTATCCTCTTATTATGTCTTTCCCAGCAAAATTCTTTATCCGATCATAATCTAATTGTTACTGAGCCGTATTTCAACTTTTCATCAACTAAAGAAGCTATGAATGAAATCTTTTTTGAAGATTATCAAGTGGCTGGTTTGATTCGCACAAATCGTAAGTGTTAATCCGACAATATATACATCTAACTGATTTTTTAGCTGCATTTTTAAGCGCTTACAAATATAGAAGTGAATCAGCTCAACGTCTTTCAAGATATTGTATAGTTATTGACTCTGGATACTCATTTACACACATTGTACCCATGGCTGATGGATTTGTTATGAAAGATTTTGTCATACGGTATTTACCTTTTCAATGAAGATTTTTATTGTCTTTCTTAAAAAAACATATTTTTAATTTTCTATTCAAGGCTAACAGTAGGTGGGAAAATTCTTACAAATCGTTTGATTGAAGCTGTATCCTATAGGTAAGTTTTATAATTGACTATGACTATAATTTTCTCCCCATAGACATTTGGATGTTCGAAGTGAGATATATATAATGAATCAGTGCAAAGAAGATGTATGTTATGTATCTACTGACTTTTGGCAAGATATGAAGATTTCTCGGTGAGTCTTTTTAAAGTATTGTCGTTTGTAATGTGGTGCCGTATGCTTTATTTTTAGGAATAGAGGGGATTTTTTAGTACCATGCACCATCTTTACATGATTCTTGTTTCAAAGTGATCATTCCCACATTAACTGAAAGGTTCAAGTACATGACATTTCTATGTGTACAACTAACCCCAAAAGTCCTTATTGTTCACAGGTATTGTGAAGCTCTCCGTGGTTAGTCACCACTATCTTCTGAGTATTATATTCATTCGTTAGTATGATCATTTATTTAATACCATAAACCGGTAGCATGTTTGGTGAAAATTATTGAAAAGTTTGAGGATATACTTATTCCATATGAACCATAGAACAAAAGGCAATTAAACTGTATTACTATATAAGAACATCTCTCAATTCTCTGATTTTATTTTGAGGTTTTCTGTCCCATTCTTCAAGTTGACGAAGTAGAGTTTAATCTACTTTGTTTTTTCCTTCCTCATTACAAGCAAACGAAACATTGTTTGACTTCACGCTTCCTAAGTGTTGTGTGTTTGTGTGATCTATTACATCATTTCGTTTTTCATTTAATTTTGTTTTATTATATGAACAGTGCATATAATGATACTTCTTATAGTGCTAAGCATCCTATAATTCACAAAATCCTACATTTATTTGAAATAATTACGAATGATGTTCAATAAAAATATCTTTTTAGAATATGCAACCAAAAAAGACAGTGTAAATGCTGTTGATCAATATATTGAATAATAATCCCTTGTTATGTAGATAGATAGCTACACACCTATCCATTTTCACTGAGTGCTACCAAACTATCAAACAATATTTGTTAGTAGGTTTTTCGTCTATCTCTACCTTTTTTTTACATAGATCAAACCAAAGATCAAACAGCATTTTAAGAGAATATGTACTACCAAACTATGTCGATGTGCATCGTGGATATGTTCGTGATCCGAATGCAGTGGCTTCTGAAAATAGTGGTAATGATAAATCAGAACAACGGGCTTCCAATCTGTCACAGCAAGGATATGTATTACGTTTGAATAATGAGCGTTTTACGGTTCCTGAATTGATTTTCCATCCATCTGATGTGGGCTATCAAGAAATGGGGCTTACAGAAGCTATCCATTACTTAATGAGTGAACGATTACCGGCTGCAGTAAGGCCAGGAGCTTGGGCAAATTTTATGGTTATGGGTGGTAATGCATGTTTTCCAGGATTTTCTGAACGACTGTAAGTCTATTAGGTTTTATGCGAATTCAAGTAAATTTTCTAGTAAATTGTCATCAATATGGCTTTTCGTCATTCCATACGCTACATATGATATGATGCTAAAACTAGTGTTGTTATCTGTATACACTCATGAAATTTACAGTTGTCAAAAGCCAGATGAAACCATTGTTCTCAAAGTTCGGTGGAAATTTTAACGTCACTAAAGAAATTCGTTCTCATAAATAGGCGATTTTTACAAATATATTGATGAGTTACTTAAATCACGAATTGAGTAGCCAAACAATCTTGTATTAAAATATTTTTTGATGGCCTTTGTATCGGACTAGGTAACTGTTTACTCAATGTAATAAGATTGTGACAATACAAAATTTAAACTTGAAAAGCATTACGATCAATGTAATGAAAAATATTTTAGATAAGATTATTTGTCCTGTTTACTTTCATTTACATATGAAAGTCAACTGCAAATACTCTTCTTTAATAGAAAAACTTATTTTTTCTTAAATAAATAAATTATTGGATTTATTCGCTGACGAGTTCAGCCAAATGTGTTTCTTAATCTGAATAATTTATATTTTAAAAGACATTTTGTTTTAATCTTGAAGTTATATACATAAACAGATTTCTACCGACCATGCAAACGAGTCTTTAAGTAAAAGATAGCTAGTACTGTGATATGTGCTACTGATGTCGATATATATATAAGTAGTATATGTCACCACTCGAAAGTAGAATGCCTGGCAGCAGAAGGTTGAGAAAATCCAAGAGAAGAGAACGAGAACAGAGATTGATTGGTACGGAAACGAAGGAACAACAAAGTCTGAGACAATTGGTGGATATTTTGTAAATGAAATATTACTGTATGATTTTCAGATTTTAATAAGAGATTCTATAATTTTGTATTCCAATACATTTGGTTACCCCCACTCATGTTCTCGCTCATTACAGTACATTTAAAGTGTTATGACGGTGTTATAAGCATGACTTTAATATTTAATCGGAACTTAGTGTTAAAACTCTATTGCTGCTGAAAAATTTTATTGAGTTCCATTTACTTAGATTAACCTACTCTGCAGCCCAGAATTATTGTTCACTCTGTGACTCAAACACAAGTAAGTGGCTCTTTAGACTCAGTAGCTAATTGGATAACACGATGACGTCCTATTCTACAATAACTTGTGTTGTAATGGCTATATGGAGGCCATTTGTACAGGATGCATTTATGCCAACCAAGACTGGTTAGATTTTAGTCAAAAATATCAACAATGAGATAATCCAATCCATTTCAAATTGAATTAACGATATTAATGTTTTAAGCTAGAAATAATATCCCTAAATTTCTCACTATTTAGATAGATCATAAGTGTTACTGATCAGTTCAATAGCGCTCATTGGTTTTTCAGCATTAAAATGTCAACCACTGTGTTCGCTGCTGGGAAACTGTCCTTCTAGTTTATTCGTAGCAGCGGATTACTATTACTATCCCTCACACAAAATCTGGTGTATAACCAAATACATATGCATGTACATTTTTACATATAAAAATATAATTGTTTTGTGTTTAATAATGTAACCGGGATGTGAGTCAATCTTTGAAGCTCATTTACAGAGTCTCGTATTAGATTAAATTATACCTGCTCATGACTTGCAGTAGCCAATAAGTTCCATGTTATTTACACAGTAATTTCCTTTCTTGTCAGTTGTTAGTCTGATAAAACTAATCAAACACTAATAATCACACTTTAGTGTCTTATCTTCAATTAGTAACTTCTTTTCTCTCAAACACATAATCACTTAACCATTACTTATGCAATATGTATATTTTTTGCAAATATATCTGTTGTGATTTTTCTTTTGGTCTTCATGATTTGACGTATACATCCATCCGGTTTGTTGTATTCTCTATGACATGTGTGTTAATTCATTACCTATCAATACCTAACAATACAACGTGTGTTTGTGCACAATACACATTGTAGACAAAGTGTGCACACTTACGTTTATCCTTTTGTGAGGTCCGACAACGTTTTGTATGTATGTGTGTTTGTATTTAAGTCTGTTTGATATCCTATGCAAAAGAAAAAGTTCTTGTGACTTTCATATCGATCGATAAAGTAATCCGAACATGTTGTATTAAGTTTGACGCTACGCACCAAAATAGGTCGCATAAGCTTTCTCCGAAAATTCTTCATGAAACAAGTAGTGCGCTGCATTTTGCTCTGTTATGTTCATCACATTGATTGTGGTATAATAAAATTCGAATACCTTGGCAAAGTCAATCAAATACTTAAGAACAGAACACAGACATCCAACCAAGGTTACAAATAAAAAGGTATAATAATAGATAATGAGATATCTGGTGAAATCCTAAATAATAATCAATACAAATACTCCCTGAAAGTAAGTGTTACCTTAATCACTAGTGACTAATCATACTGAAGCTCTTCGAGTTTTGAAAGGGTAGTTGTGGATTTTCCAACTATTTACTGGCATTTACACATATGATAATTGTGATTAAATGATAGGTCGATTATGATCGCAGGTGTGTTAAGTCCAATGGCATAAAAACTACTATTCTCTTTATAGGGTTTTAACTCTATTCCTTAAGAATGTCATAGATGTAAACTGCTGAAACACGAAAGACAAATAACTGGCGTTTACTACCTAATTTCTTCAAGTCTATTCTTTGTTATCCATTTATGAAGAAAATCAAATTTAATTCGAACGAAAAGCCTCACACATTGCTCCATGACATTCTTACCATGGTGTTTCTTGTTGATACTTCTCGTCAACTGTCCTTTACGATTGATACCAATATTATACTCGTGTATCCCATCTATATAAGATATACTAATATATAAATAGTAAATGTCATTTTATACGGTCATACATTTTCAAATTATAACACAATTTCCCCATACGAGTTCATCTTTTCTTTCAATATTAGTTTGGAGTTTCTCACTTGTTTATTGCTTCATTGTACGTGCAATCATACATATTGTTTTTTTCTAATATATTTCGAACATTTACTACTCAAGACAGTTTTAATTAAATATACTATTATTATTATTTGAAAAGCGACATTAAGTTAATATTTAGTCAGTCCTCATTATCTTTTATAAATCCTATCTGGGATTATTATTATTATTATTATTATTATTATTATTATTATTATTATTATTATTATTATTATTATTATTATTATAGATGATTAATCTTAAAAACGTTAAGAACATACTTCTAAATTATCTATGCATTGACATATTCAGTTTCTGTATATTAGTTGCGTGTTACGAACACTTTACTTGCCATTAATTCTTTTTTTTATAATAAATTCGGTTAACTTGTTTATATTCCCTTATAACTGAAATTAATTAAGACTTTGATTTCGTATACAACGACAAATAGAGTTAACGTTTCACATGACACTAATATATCTACAAATTGAAATATGTCATTTTCACTTATGTAATGTAGTAATAAAATAATGGTATTATAATATCCCGATAAATAAACCAATAAAATTTCGGATATTTCATGACTTAGGATAAGTCACTTCTTTTGAAAAGAAGAAAATCTTGATTTATACGTGTATGTATCCGGGTTTTTTTGAAAATGAAACTTGTTGGAATAGTTTCTGCTGAGAATTCTATATTGTGCTAAATATATAATATTGAATAAAGCTATTAACAATAATAATATACGGTACATAAATCTAAATACTACAAGAAAATAAGTCAAATGTTTGCTACAAACAAAGAGGTTGAATTATGCCAATGTTATGTCATTCAATTTAAAGGTGATTCTGTGTTACATAGTGCTCTTTCTATAATGTTAATCACGTTTCTCTTATATGTTTTTCTGCATATGTTGAGAATGTTTCATCTCCAAGTAAACACCTAATAAGTGATTATTTCGTAGGTTTGAATTTCTGTTTTTCTCTGTCCAAATTTTCTCACGGGTTTTTTCATTCAGATTTTTTGTCCAACTGGTTCCTCAGTTACCCAATATCTTCAAGCAACCTGAATAGCAAATTTCTATAAGTTCTTCAACTCTAAGTGAGGTTGAAAAGGCTATAAGCAATCTAAAGCGAGGGTGAGCAGCAGGACTTGATGAACTAACCCCTGAGATTTTTACGGATAGTGGTCCAGTTTTATCAGTTAGATTAACTGAGATCTTAGCTAAACTCTGAGAACTAAAAGTAATCTCATCTAACTGGTCTTCATACCTAACCGTCCCAGTCTATAAGAAAAGACAAATATCCTCTTTTGACAATCACAGAGTAATCAGTTTAACTAATATAGTAACTAAAATGTTAGCCTCAATAATACTTCGACGTCTAACTACTGCTCGTGAAGAATAAACTCGAGAAAGCCAGGCTGGTTTCTGACCTGGACAAAGATGCATAGATAAAATTCATTTAGATTCGGACTTTCTGAATTCCTCACAATTCTCCTTATTTCATCAGTATATATTTTCTTCAAATGCGTCTTCGATGCCTGATCTTTTCTGTTAACACTGATATTGTTGCTACCTCTACTATTTCGGGATTCGGACTGACAATTTCATCTCTTTGTACATACGTATACGTACCAGGTCCTACGTTGTGACTAACTGAATTTCACTTTCAACGTGATAATAACATGCTGTTTTCCATTTACCTCTCAGTTCTTTTGATGTGTTAATCTCTCACTCTATTTATAGAGTTATTGTAAATGTACACATGTACTGTTTCGTTGAATCAGTCTTCTTTGGTGTCTACCAATCCATCTTCTTCATAAGATTTGTTTTTGGGGGAGTAGCCGACGTTAGAAAAGAAAGGCAGTTGTGAAATGCAGGTAGCGAAGCATAGCTAGTAGCTATTCATATTTTCTCTTAATATCCCACCATAGATGAAATATCCGAAATTGTATTTGCAGAAAGTTCTTAAAATTTATTTATTCAAACTTGTTTTTACTGATAGTCTCATACACAACGTAAAACCTGGCAAATTTTTACTTTGAAGAGAAGTTGTAAATTTACCATACGATACTACCAAACATGAATTATTGAATTGGTTTAGAAAACTTTACTGAAGCACACAGTTAGTGGAAATGTAATAATTAACTCTATTATCTGTAATGAATGAATTCATTTCTTCTTAACATGTCCTCTTTTTTATTGCTTGTGTTTGGGGTTATCAATATTAGTTTGTACAATGGTCCCATATGTTTGTTTTTTCACATAAGGACACGACTTAGTTACCGTTTACCAATTACCTAATTCAATCCTTTTACAGTTCCAAACCAACTCCATACAATTTATGTCTTAGTGTTATTACTTTACATACAAAGGGTGTGGTTTAGTAGATTGAATCATTTAACTTTCTACCATTAAATTCCAAGTTCTATTTTCTTTTTATCTACTCAAGTGTTTAAGCAGTTAGGTAGTGTTATTAACTTTTCTATTCATAAAACAAATTTCTGTTTGATAAATAAGTTACATTAAGTTCAAGTTTTAAGATGTAACTCCATTATTACTAATTTGTTATTACCTTATTTCATTAATTTGTTTAGTCTAAATAATTTCATGTATTTCTATCATTTGTACAACCTTATTTTATCAAGTTAATATTAATGAATAAGGTCAATCATTCAGACTGTGTTTTTTTGTTGTCCGAGAAATCCATTACTAACAAAAATTGTTTGTTTTGTTTGTTTTTTTTTCAAATAAAAATCATGATAAACTTTTCATAAAGTAGTAATGTGTTCATAATTTGAAACTATTAAATTAAATTATCAGAATGGATTTTGTGGAGATTTTTAGAAATTTCACTTGTTGAAATCATGAATCAATTGAAGCTAGACCACCATGGAAAACCTGGAAGCACTGAACGGCCGTTTCGTCCTAGTATGGGACTCCTCGGCAGTGCGCATCCACGATCCCGCACCCCGCGGGATTCGAAACCAGGACCTATCAGTCTCGCGGGGTGCGGGATCGTGGATGCGCACTGCCGAGGAGTCCCATACTAGGACGAAACGGCCGTTCAATGCTTCCAGGTGGTCTAGCTTCAATTGACTAATGATTTCAACAAGTGTACTAAATTAAATGTTCATTTGATTGTTTGTTTTTATTTATTAGTTTATTTATTGGTTTTAGATCATGAAATTTCTGAATTTTGAGCTATTTGTTTAAATTTGACTTTACATATTTTATTCAATATAAGTATAATTCTTATTGGTTTACTTTCTTTTGAGAATATCATGTAATTGTTTGTTTAAAATGAATTTAATTAGATCAACTAATTACAATTATCTTTTATTTCAGACAGAAATTATTTTATCTGTCTAATAGATAATTAATTGTTATCACACATGAAGCTTTATATTGTACAGAAGTTATAAAGTTCATTTTATAATATCTGTAGGTATATAAGAATATAGATTCGAAAAACAGTTGCTAAGTTTTTAGTTGAATAAGTGATAACTTTACAACAATAATGTATGTGGATTATCTATTTGCTTATTTTGACTAGATTTACATTCTTTTGTAAATTTTTATTACAGACAAAGAGATATTCGTACTCAAGCACCTGATGATCTTCCAGTAAATGTCTTTAAACCCCCTAAGTAAGTTGTATTTTTCTTCTACTAACTCTCATTTTTAAGATAAATTCTAAAAGCTGCTTTTTGATTGTATCAAAGACTATGACATGTTATTTGGAGTGTTTTCTTCGAGTGGTATTCGTTGAGAATTTATAGTCTTCCTTTTTATTGGACTTCTCAGAAGACATACTTTGAAAGAAATACCTGTTTCCTCCAACTTACTATAGATTCATCACTTTCTAAGAAATCTAATCAACCTCAACAACAAGAAATTAATCTTGTTGAGTGAAGGTGCTGATAAAGGGTGTTTCATTTGCTTTCGGAGACTTCGTCACTTATGGTGGGTTGCTGGCTAGCGAACTGTTTGTTTAAACACTAAGCGCTTGCTTATCTCTCTCCATTTTAAGCCATTTACATGTCAAGATTATTCGAACGTCTAGTAATCAGCGACCAAATTATTAGGTAAATATTTGTTTTGTTATTTCACGACTGAGACGTGACTATTAAAGTTGGGAAGTAGGCACTATTTTGTAATATGTATCTCTAAAGCACTTCTGTGCGGTTGGGACCACTAGCCTCTGCTGAATGGGTTGTTTTTCACATATTTTATGTATTTCTAGTCATTTCATACCCTAGCATAATATTTTTGGCTAAAATATGAACAGAATAAAAGAAAGTTTAGGACGACCAAAACAAAAAGTAGCATCAACCCATCAAGTCACTATGAATCTGGGTCGTATAAGCTTCCTCATTCGGATCAGCGAAATACAGCTCAAAACTAATCGTTGTCTTAGATCCATCCACCTGTTTTAAAATATTTTTCCTTTGTCCTTCTTCCTACAGTTCTTTACTTTTATTGCATTATCTAGACCTCCACTCACTGTACTGATGGGGAATGCGCTGATAAGGATGATCACAAACATTTTTAAGATCTGACCCTGTCTGTGGTTTTAAATAAACTTGTCTAAACTTTGATTCTGACTACAACACTTGCTGTGTTTTTTTGGTCGTCAAAAGTTGTCAGGTAATCCATAAAATATTTCTCGCTTCGGATTAATATCTTTTAACGTATCTTCGGTTTCAAAATAACTTGTTTCCCAATACAGACTTGAACCCTCAGCTTTGTATCATTTGGCTCAGTGAATATACTTACTTACTTACTTACACCTGTTACTCCTCGTGAAGGAGCATAGGTCGCTCACCAGCATTCTCCATCCAACCCTGTCCTGGGCAATCCTTTCCAGCTCCTTCCAGTTGTAATTCATCCTTTTCATATCTGCTTCTATTATCCGACGTAATGTGTTCTTTGGCCTTCCTCTTTTCCGCTTCCCTTCAGGATTCCAAGTTAGAGCTTGCCTCGTGATGCAGTTTGACGATTTGCGTAATGTATGTTCTATCCATTTCCATCGTCTTTTCATAATTTCCTCTTCAGCTGGAAGTTGGTTTGTTCTCTCCCACAGAAGGCTATTGCTGATGGTATCCGGCCAATGGATGTTGAGTATCTTGCGTAGATAGCTATTTATAAATACTTGTACTTTCTTGATTGTGGTTGTTGTAGTTATCCAAGTTTCAGCTCCGTACAGTAGAACTGCCTTGACGTTCGTATTGAAGATTCTCACTTTGATATTGGCTGAAAGTTGTTTTGAGTTCCATATGTTCTTCAATTGTAGGAATGCGGCCCTTGCTTTGCCAATCCTCGCCTTTACGTCTGCATCTGAACCTCCTTGTCTATCGACGATGCTTCCCAGATATGTGAAGGATTCTACATCTTCCAGAGTTTCGCCATCAAGGGTGATTGGATTGCTGTTCTCCGCTTTGAATTTGAGGACCTTGGTTTTCCCTTTGTGTATACTGAGGCCTACTGATGCAGAGACTGCTGCTACACTGGCTGTCTTCATCTGCATCTGTTCGTGTGTACGTGATAGGAGGGCTAGGTCATCTGCGAAGTCCAGATCGTCTAATTGGTTCTGAGCTGTTCATTGTATTCCGTGTTTTCCTTCAGATGTCGAGGTCTTCATAATCCAGTCGACCACCAGAAGAAAGAGGAAGGGAGAGAGTAAACAGCCTTGTCTGACTCCGGTCCTTACTTGGAATGCATCTGTCAGCTGTCCTCCATGCACTACTTTGCACTGTAGTCCGTCGTATGAGTTCCGGATAATATTGACAATCTTCTCAGGAACTCCGTAGTGTCGAAGAAGTTTCCATAATGTTCTCCTATCTACACTGTCGAATGCCTTTTCATAATCAATGAAGTTGATGTATAGTGACGAGTTCCACTCAACTGATTGTTCGACGATGATCCGTAGTGTTGCAATTTGGTCTGTGCTTGACCGATCCTTTCGGAATCCAGTTTGTTGATCTCGAAGTTGGGCATCTACTGCATCCTTCATCCGGTTCAGCAACACTCTGTTGAAGACTTTCCCTGGTATTGACAGTAGTGTAATGCCTCTGTAGTTTTCACATTTGCTAAGATCTCCTTTCTTTGGAATCTTGATGAGGTGTCCTTCTTTCCAGTCCATTGGCACTTGTTCCTCCTCCCAAATCTTTTTGAATAGAGGGTAAAGCGTGCTTGTGGTTACTTCGACGTCTGATTTCAGTGCTTCAGCTGGTATGTTGTCGGGTCCTGCTGCTTTTCCGTTCTTGATTTGTCTGACGGCCATTCTAATTTCTTCCGTCGTTGGTGGGTTGACATCTATAGGAAGATCTGTGTGTGCTGCTTCGATGTTCGGTGGATTCATTGGAGCCGGCCTATTCAGGAGTTCCTCGAAGTATTCTACCCATCTGTTTCGCTGTTGTTGAATTTCAGTGATTGGCTTGCCTTCTTTGTCTTTGACCGGCCTCTCTGGTTTACTGTATTTCCCTGATAGTTTCTTCGTTGCATCGTAGAGCTGTTTCATATTTCCTTCTCTAGCAGCTTTTTCTGCCGTCGTTGCTAATTCTTCCACGTATTTCTTCCTGTCGGCTCTAATGCTCCTCTTCACTTGCTTGTTTGTTTCTATGTATTCAGCTTGTGCTTGGACTTTCTCTGCTCGTGTTCGGCTCTTGTTAATTGCTGTCTTCTTATTCTTCCTTTCTTTGATCTTGTCCAGTGTTTCTATAGAGATCCATTCCTTATGATGGTGTTTCTTTAGGCCCAGAACCTCTTGACACGTTGAAGTCAATGTTTCTTTGATGCCTTTCCAGTTGTCCTCCATGGTAGTTTCTTCTTCCTTCAGTAGATCTTGAAAGGCTTGGAACCTGTTGTTTAGAGCTATCCTGAATTCATTGAGTTTGTCAGTATCTCGAAGGAAGGCTGTATTGAACCTTTGTAGTGCTGTTTGTCCACTTGTCCAGTACTTTTTTAGCTTCAGTTTTAAATTGGCTACAACTAGGTGGTGATCTGAAGCTACGTCAGCTCCTCTCCTGGTTCTCACATCTTCCATTGTCCTTCGGAATTTTTTGTTGATGCAAATATGGTCTATCTGGTTCTCTGTAGTGTGGTCCGGTGAGATCCATGTAGCCTTGTGTATACGTTTGTGTGGAAATATTGTGCCTCCTATGACTAATTTGTTGAATGCACACAAATTTGCAAATCTATCTCCATTTTCGTTCCTCTCTCCCAGTCCATGTCGTCCCATAATATCTTCATATCCAGTGTTGTCTATTCCGACCTTGGCATTCAGATCTCCCATCAGAATGGTGAGGTCCTTTCTTGAGCATTTCTCTATGATTGATTGCAGCCGCTCGTAGAATTGATCTTTAATGTCGTCGTTGTTATCATTGGTGGGTGCATAACATTGGATAATATTCATTAAGATCCCCTCCTTCTTTGTTTTGAATGATGCTTTGATGATTCTGGATCCGTGGGATTCCCATCCTACAAGTGCATTTTGTGCTACTTTGGACAGCATAAGAGCGACTCCCTGAGTGTGTGGAGCATTGTCCTCTTCCTGACCGGAGTATAGCAGCATCTCTCCCGTAGCTAGTCTTTTCTGTCCAGCTTGGGTCCAGTGGGTTTCGCTGATTCCCAGTACTGCCAAGTTGTATCTCCTCATTTCCGTTGCTATTTGGCTGGTCTTCCCGGTTTCCTACATTGTTCGAACGTTCCATGTACCTATAAAAATTTTTGCTCTGGTTGTTAGAAGGGGCATCGGCCTCGTGGCTTTCGAAGGAACTCGGCTTTCACCATGAAGCGTCATAATTCTTCTAAATGAAGACCTTCTAACTCTCAGGGCAGAGTTAAAATGGTTTGAATTATTTTTTCTGGTAAGCGTTTTTTTAGCGAGTTAGTTTTCTACGGGATGGGGACGCTAACCCCATCCCAAACCCTCCTCCTTTACCCGGGCTTGGGACCGGCAGTAACTCTAGAAGAGCTACAGGCGGAGTTCTCAGTGAATATACTGTGCATTTTTTACTAGATAAAACGACTAATTGTTAAACCAAACCCAGTAAACGTTCTTGTGCACTAGGTTATATATTTTTTATGATGAACGTTATGACTAGTTAAGTTTAGTGCCTTTTCACAATAATTGCCTGTATTTAACAGTTTATTTTTTTGCTACTTTCGTTTTTCTACACCAACATTAGTCCTCAAACCTACGCTTGGGAAGGTGGCGTTTTGTTTTGTCAAAATTCAGATTCATTCAATCATTTCTTAGTTACGCGCAAAGAATATGAAGAGCAAGGATCTAGTTATTGTGAAAAACGATTCCCTATTTCTTGAATTTCTATTAATATTTATGCTTTTGTACAATGAGACAAAGAATATGTATAAATTTATTCAATATATATAGGAATAATAATGGTAACAACACATTATTTCGTTCTTGTGTCATAATCATCAGTATTCGTAGTAAACCATTTCGCTAAGCAAAACCGAATAAAAGTTTGTTTAAAATTATAATGAAATTAAGAAATTCCAGTTCAAAGAAATAAAACAGAACTGAGAATATCATTGTTCGTTTAGAAAGAAAAAGAAAGAAAACAGAAATAATATTTCACAAATAAAATAGACATTATCACGCAAGTGCTGTTTTGCGCGTATATTAAGTGAGAGAGAGAGAGAGAGAAAGTATAAACACACGTCAGTTCTGAGTATAGTACATACAACATAAGAAAATAGCATAATTCCTTGATAACAGTTGTGTAAAAAGTTCTCGGATTTTCAAACTAGTCACTAATAATATAAATGAATAGTAGTCGTGGTGGCAACAGATAAAAAATGTAAGAATAATGATGTGACTTGCAGGAATCCTATGAGTTAAAAATAGTAAACGACAAATGTTTGCATACAGCTTTTCTTCAGAAAAGTAATTGAAATATATGTATGATGCAACAATTATAGTTATAAATTATTAATTAAACAATTAAGACTGTCCGTATTATTATTAAATAAGTGACAGAGATCATTCTATAAATCATGATATGATACAATAGAATTATGGTCATCTCGGGGAAAACAGATACTTGTTATACTTACCAGCCATGTGTAAATAAACCACTGAGCGTTTAAAGAAAAAAAAAGTAAATGTAAGAAAAAATTAGTAGGCAAATTGATCTATTTTATGTTGCATAAATTGTACAGATTTATCTATCTTACAGCGTGAACAAACGAATGCTCCATGTTGTTTGTTGTACATTTGTACGTTTATTCGTTAAACAACAAATAATGATCATAGAAAGAGAATTAAACATTATATCGTTGATGTATTTGGTACATAAATTGCAATATTAGCACTCATATGTTGCTTAGAAATAGAACAAATGAGAAAAGACAAGTGTAGAAATTTGAAGAAAAACAAACAAGGAAGACAATCAAATATAATTATTATATACGTAAGGAAGGAGAAGATTAACAATGAAATGATTGTTACAAAGAAAAGTATGGGAGTGGGCTAGAAGTAGAAATACCGTCCAATCCATTGTAATATATCTTCTTGAAATCGTATTATTAAAATTTGAATAACAAAATGTAATACAGCATTAATTAACAGTAGTAAAAGTGAATATTTTCTCTTATTGCACTTAAATGCATCTCATTATAATCACTTATCAAAATTATTAATTAATCCTTCAATTGAAAATTACAAATTAAGACCATACAAACAAATAAAAAGAAATTGAAAAAGATTACAGAAACACTAATATATAATAATTGAATAAACATTACAAATATAAAATATGTTGTAATGTCATTTTACAAGAAATAATTATTAAATTAAAAATAATCATGATAAATGACTAACTTGATCTTGAGTTTTCTCAATTGTTCTATCTTTTACGCTTAAGGAACTAAAAATTACTAAGTATGAGATAATTATTATTGTATAATGTATATTACATGTATCATTAATACAAAGAAGAATCCAATTAATGCGAGGTACCATTAAATTGTGATGTATTATTTTAATTATAACAATCTTTTGCATAGAATAATTATTCACAACAATAATAGGTTATGTTAAAGAGGTGTAAATCGTAATCCATATAGTACCAGATGGTATGTGTATAAAATCGAAATTTCACAGTATGCTGTGGGCTTGACTAACAATTAATACAATATTCTTTTCCCTTTTCTTAAAAAAAAAGAAAGACTATTTCGAGAGAGAAAAGCTGAATGGTGAAAGTATCCATCCACTTCACTGTGTTTGTGTGTGTAATTCATCAAAATAAAAATCTTCCTGGTGTAATTTGAGCATTTCGATAAGTTTCAGCTAAATAAGCAGCTTTTGGATCATTTTTTTCTGGATGTGTAGTATTATTATATAAGGTTAAATCTCCTCTCTGTGATAATTGTTCATTTAATTGTCCTGAATTCTGATGATGATTGTAAGAACGATTAGTTTGATTAAATAAATTTTGATAGTTTATATGTGCACTTGGTGGTTGTTGTGAAATGATTGAATGTTGACGATTCATAACTTGTGCTTGTTGTTGATATTGATGGTATGCATAAGCGGCAGCGGCTGCCGCTTCAGCTGCTGCTAAATTAGATACTTCATTAATCGAATGAACTAACTGACTAGCATTATTTGACTGAGACTGTTCTA